TACACTGGCCGCTTGAATTTCCACAAGAACACTGACGATCTCATGTAAGATCGTCAGTGTTCTTGTGGAAATACTGTGCTGCTCCCATTCGGGAAAAAGCCCTCTTGCGCAAATCATTTGCACAAAAGGGCCAGTGTAAGACGTAGTGGGGGTACCTGGCTGGTTTCTATGCTGCTGGCTCTGGGGTATTTTTGACACCCTGTATCATTCTTGTTGCTCTTCTCTGGATCCTCTTTAGTTTGTCTCATCTTTCCTAAAAGTATAGTGCCCACAACTAGATGCAGACCACTTGCTGCAGATTGACTGTGCGTTGTGTGCAGACGTACTTCTTCCGGTTTGTTTTAAATCTTCTGTTCATGTCCTTGGATGACCCCTGATTCTTGTGTTTTGTGCAGGGGTAAATAACACTTCCTTATTCACTCTGTCCACTCCAGTCATGATGTCATAGATCTCTAACATAGCCCCGCGTGGTTATCTCTCTTCTAAGCTGCACAGATCCGATCTTTTAAATCTCTCCTTATATGGAAGCTGTTCCATTTGCCCAATCGGTTTTGCTGCTCTTCTCTGTACCTTTATATCTTTTTTGAAACGGAGCAACCAAAACTGTACACAGTACTTAAGAGGTGGGCATACCATAGATTTCTACAGTGGCATTATGATACTTTCTGTTCTTTACTATAGTTTCAACCAGTTTGCCTGGTACTGAAGTTAGGTTTTCTGGTCTGTAATTTCCAGGATTGCTTTTGGAGCCATTCAAAAATAATTGGTGTGACGTGAGCTGTCCTCTAGACATCTGGTATAGAGGGTGATTTAAGTGATAGGAATTTGTTCCAAAGCCTCCTCTATTGACACCTCAGTGTGGGGCAGTTCTGCAGATTTGTCACCTAAAAATAGTTCAAGAGTGGGAATCTCTCCATCCTCTGCAGTGAAGACCAAAGCAAAGAATTAATGTATCTTCTCTGCAACAGCCTTGTTTTCCTTGAGTGCTCCTTTAGTACCTCAGTCCTATAGTGGGCCACTGACTGTTTGATAGGCTTCCTGCTTCTGATGTACATCTGTCTGTGTATTTAGTCTGTGTCCTTAGCTAGTTGCTCTTCACATTTTTTGGACTTGCTTTACTATACTTCGATACTTGATTTGCCAGCGTTTATGCTCCTTTCTATTGTCCTTAATACAGGTTGAACCTCTCTAGTCCGGTTCTCTTGTCCAGAAACATCCATGGTCCAGAATGATTTTAGTGTGCTGGATATCCACTTTTCATGGGTGTGACCAAGTTTCCCGCGGTCTCATAAAGTTTGTTTACAGCCACCAGTCCTGGCTCTCAGTGTTCTGTGCTGTTTTTTTAGCTTTAATTTAACCCTTAAATATTCTCTGACAGCCCAGTAAGCAGTGGAAGTGTTGGTAATGCTGCTAGACAATATTAACCTTCTATGGTCCAGAAAATTCTCTCAGTCGGCACCTGGGCAGGTCTCAAGAGTGCTGGACTAGAGAGGTCTATCTGTAGGATGTGATGTCTAGTTTTAAAGGATGTCATTTTGTCTCTCACCCCCTCATTTACTCTGCTGTTTAGTCAGGGTGGAGTTTTTTTGGCCCCTTTCTTTTTTAAAATGTGGGTTATACATTTAGTTTAATTAATACCAAGCTATCAAAATACCAAACTTTACTAATATCGAGACTATGTCTGTATCCACTAGGCAAGTCACCCACTCAAAGGAGGAGTTAGGTTAGTTTGTATTTGACAAATCCATGCTGACTATTCCTAACAATATTATTGTCCTCTAGGTGCTTGCAAATTGATTGTTTAATCATTTGTTCCAGTATCTTTCCTGGTATTGAAGTCAAATTGGAGCCTCTTTGTTCTCCTTTTGAAATATATGTATTCATCTCCTTCGGGACCTCACCATTGCTCTATGGGTTCTCAAAAATAATTGCTAATGGTCCAAGATTGTGGAGGGTGAATTTAGTCAGGCCTTGCTGACTTGAATATATCTAATTTATCTAAATATACTCGAACCTGTTTTCCCCTATTTTGGCTAATGTTCTTTTCCCCCCTTCTTATTAATATTAAATGTGTTAAACATTGAGTCATAATTAACCGGTTTGGTGAAAACAGAAGGGCTACATCTACACTGGCATGATTTTCCGAAAATGCTTTTAACGGAAAACTTTTCCGTTAAAAGCATTTTCGGAAAATCATGCCAGTGTAGATGTAGCCCTTCTGTTTTCACCAAACCGGTTAATTATGACTCAATGTTTAACACATTTAATATTAATAAGAAGGGGGGAAAAGAACATTAGCCAAAATAGGGGAAAACAGGTTCGAGTATATTTAGATAAATTAGATATATTCAAGTCAGCAAGGCCTGACTAAATTCACCCTCCACAATCTTGGACCATTAGCAATTATTTTTGAGAACCCATAGAGCAATGGTGAGGTCCCGAAGGAGATGAATACATATATTTCAAAAGGAGAACAAAGAGGCTCCAATTTGACTTCAATACCAGGAAAGATACTGGAACAAATGATTAAACAATCAATTTGCAAGCACCTAGAGGACAATAATATTGTTAGGAATAGTCAGCATGGATTTGTCAAATACAAACTAACCTAACTCCTCCTTTGAGTGGGTGACTTGCCTAGTGGATACAGACATAGTCTCGATATTAGTAAAGTTTGGTATTTTGATAGCTTGGTATTAATTAAACTAAATGTATAACCCACATTTTAAAAAAGAAAGGGGCCAAAAAAACTCCACCCTGACTAAACAGCAGAGTAAATGAGGGGGTGAGAGACAAAATGACATCCTTTAAAACTAGACATCACATCCTACAGATAGACCTCTCTAGTCCAGCACTCTTGAGACCTGCCCAGGTGCCGACTGAGAGAATTTTCTGGACCATAGAAGGTTAATATTGTCTAGCAGCATTACCAACACTTCCACTGCTTACTGGGCTGTCAGAGAATATTTAAGGGTTAAATTAAAGCTAAAAAAACAGCACAGAACACTGAGAGCCAGGACTGGTGGCTGTAAACAAACTTTATGAGACCGCGGGAAACTTGGTCACACCCATGAAAAGTGGATATCCAGCACACTAAAATCATTCTGGACCATGGATGTTTCTGGACAAGAGAACCGGACTAGAGAGGTTCAACCTGTATTAAGGACAATAGAAAGGAGCATAAACGCTGGCAAATCAAGTATCGAAGTATAGTAAAGCAAGTCCAAAAAATGTGAAGAGCAACTAGCTAAGGACACAGACTAAATACACAGACAGATGTACATCAGAAGCAGGAAGCCTATCAAACAGTCAGTGGCCCACTATAGGACTGAGGTACTAAAGGAGCACTCAAGGAAAACAAGGCTGTTGCAGAGAAGATACATTAATTCTTTGCTTTGGTCTTCACTGCAGAGGATGGAGAGATTCCCACTCTTGAACTATTTTTAGGTGACAAATCTGCAGAACTGCCCCACACTGAGGTGTCAATAGAGGAGGCTTTGGAACAAATTCCTATCACTTAAATCACCCTCTATACCAGATGTCTAGAGGACAGCTCACGTCACACCAATTATTTTTGAATGGCTCCAAAAGCAATCCTGGAAATTACAGACCAGAAAACCTAACTTCAGTACCAGGCAAACTGGTTGAAACTATAGTAAAGAACAGAAAGTATCATAATGCCACTGTAGAAATCTATGGTATGCCCACCTCTTAAGTACTGTGTACAGTTTTGGTTGCTCCGTTTCAAAAAAGATATAAAGGTACAGAGAAGAGCAGCAAAACCGATTGGGCAAATGGAACAGCTTCCATATAAGGAGAGATTTAAAAGATCGGATCTGTGCAGCTTAGAAGAGAGATAACCACGCGGGGCTATGTTAGAGATCTATGACATCATGACTGGAGTGGACAGAGTGAATAAGGAAGTGTTATTTACCCCTGCACAAAACACAAGAATCAGGGGTCATCCAAGGACATGAACAGAAGATTTAAAACAAACCGGAAGAAGTACGTCTGCACACAACGCACAGTCAATCTGCAGCAAGTGGTCTGCATCTAGTTGTGGGCACTATACTTTTAGGAAAGATGAGACAAACTAAAGAGGATCCAGAGAAGAGCAACAAGAATGATACAGGGTGTCAAAAACCCAGCCTATGTGCAAAACTGGGCATGTTTTGTTCCGGGAAAAGAAGACTGAAGGCAGATCAGATAAATGCATCAAACGCATTAAGAGCTGTTATAAAGAGGATGGTGATTAGTTGTTCTTCATTTCCACTGAAGGTAGGAGGAGAAGTAAAATGGGCTTAATGGGCAACAAGGGTGATTCGGGTTAGAATTAGACACACCTTTCTAAGCCTTTGTCCACACTATGCTGCTTTTAGAGAAACAGCTGTGTGGCTACAGCCATGTCGCCAAAACTCAGGCAGTGTAGATTCTGGTTGCCAGCTCTTTTGCTGACAAAATATTTCCACCCCCGGTGGGCAGCACCAGCACTGCTCGCACTGGCAATGAAAGGCCAAGTGCTACTCACATCAGCACTGGTTGTTAGCAAAACTTTTGTCTTGGGTGTGTGGGGGGGTCATTTTAACACCTTTGAGCGGCTAAAATTTTGCCATTCGATTGCCAGTATAGAACATAAGAACGGCCATACTGGGTCAGACCAACGGTCCATCTAGCCCAGTATCCTGTCTGCCGACAGTGGCCAATACCAGATGCTCCAGAGGGAGGGAACACAACAGGTAACCATCACATGATCCCTCCCTCCTAGACTCAGCCTAGGGGTATTTAAGCCCTGCACTTGGCTTCCCATGGAGATTGTGGAATCCCCATCAGTGGCGGTTTTTACAAACAGGTTGGACAAACACCCGTTGGGCATGGCCTACATTTACTTGGCCTGGCCTTGGCACAAGGGGGTTGGACTAGATGGCCTCTCAAGATCCCTTCCAGTCCCACATGTCTATGAATATTGGTCAGCATGGTCAGCGGTGGCAGCACGGATCTGTGCAGCTTAGAAGAGAGATAACCACGCGGGGCTATGTTAGAGATCTATGACATCATGACTGGAGTGGACAGAGTGAATAAGGAAGTGTTATTTACCCCTGCACAAAACACAAGAATCAGGGGTCATCCAAGGACATGAACAGAAGATTTAAAACAAACCGGAAGAAGTACGTCTGCACACAACGCACAGTCAATCTGCAGCAAGTGGTCTGCATCTAGTTGTGGGCACTATACTTTTAGGAAAGATGAGACAAACTAAAGAGGATCCAGAGAAGAGCAACAAGAATGATACAGGGTGTCAAAAACCCAGCCTATGTGCAAAACTGGGCATGTTTTGTTCCGGGAAAAGAAGACTGAAGGCAGATCAGATAAATGCATCAAACGCATTAAGAGCTGTTATAAAGAGGATGGTGATTAGTTGTTCTTCATTTCCACTGAAGGTAGGAGGAGAAGTAAAATGGGCTTAATGGGCAACAAGGGTGATTCGGGTTAGAATTAGACACACCTTTCTAAGCCTTTGTCCACACTATGCTGCTTTTAGAGAAACAGCTGTGTGGCTACAGCCATGTCGCCAAAACTCAGGCAGTGTAGATTCTGGTTGCCAGCTCTTTTGCTGACAAAATATTTCCACCCCCGGTGGGCAGCACCAGCACTGCTCGCACTGGCAATGAAAGGCCAAGTGCTACTCACATCAGCACTGGTTGTTAGCAAAACTTTTGTCTTGGGTGTGTGGGGGGGTCATTTTAACACCTTTGAGCGGCTAAAATTTTGCCATTCGATTGCCAGTATAGAACATAAGAACGGCCATACTGGGTCAGACCAACGGTCCATCTAGCCCAGTATCCTGTCTGCCGACAGTGGCCAATACCAGATGCTCCAGAGGGAGGGAACACAACAGGTAACCATCACATGATCCCTCCCTCCTAGACTCAGCCTAGGGGTATTTAAGCCCTGCACTTGGCTTCCCATGGAGATTGTGGAATCCCCATCAGTGGCGGTTTTTACAAACAGGTTGGACAAACACCCGTTGGGCATGGCCTACATTTACTTGGCCTGGCCTTGGCACAAGGGGGTTGGACTAGATGGCCTCTCAAGATCCCTTCCAGTCCCACATGTCTATGAATATTGGTCAGCATGGTCAGCGGTGGCAGCAGCACCACAAGCAACCCTACAACAATAAATCAGACAGCAACAGAGAACAGCGCTTTCTAATGGCCAGAGCGTTGTTATAAACCACTGAAGCTGGATGGGAGAGAACATTGCTTCATGCCTGTGCCAGACAGCGCCCAACCCTCGTATGCCTCTGTGTCAGTGATAATGATGTGTGCTCCACAGGGGGTTTCCAGAGGAGAATAAATACCCTGCGTGCCTGAGCTCCTCTCATTTAATTCCTGAACTACAGGGAGCCTTCTCGCTGCCCTGGCCAGGTGAGCTGGGTCAGCATCATCTCTGGAGAGTTTCCAAGAGCCACTCCACACACGTGCTGGGAATGATGAAAGGATTGTAAGTAACCTCTGGATCTAGTAGTAATAATGTTGTCAGGTTAGTGGGGCTGAGAACCCACAGTCATGGGCGCATTATAAAGACTGACAGACCCGCTCTGCAAACCAGCCATTCGTTCAGCAGCCATTCTAACTTGCCAGAAAAAAGCTGAATGTAAAAAGGGGGCGAGCCTGCTGTCTGAGCTCCGCGACACCCCCTCCCACTGCCCAGTCCTAGCATGACAGGAGGAGGACAAAGCCCAGAAGGGAATCTTTCCTACACAGATTTCATCCTCCTCGGTTTCCCTGGACTGCAGCAGTTTCATGCTCTCCTCTTCATTCCCTTCTTCTGCCTTTACCTGGTGAATGTGGGGGCAAACTGCACAGTTATCTACACCATCTGGGTGGAGAGGAGCCTGCACTCCCCCATGTACCTGCTGATCTCGCTTCTCTCCGCCATGGGGCTCTGCAGCACCAGCGCCATCCTGCCGCAGATGCTGTTGGGTTTCTTGGCCCACTCGAGCCGCCTCTCCCTGCCTGGCTGCCTGGCCCAGATGTTTTTCATCTACCTGTTGATCATCATGGACTCCTCTGTTCTCCTGCTGATGGCGCTGGACAGGTACGTCGCCATTTGCAAGCCGCTGCGCTATGTGGACATCATGTCCAAGCGCCTCCTGGCGGGGATGGTCCTGGCTGCCCTGATCCGCGGCATCTCCGTGGCCTGCCTCATGGTCGTGCTAGCCTCCAGGCTGCCTTTCTGCCAGTCCAATGTCATCCAGCATTTCGCATGTGAGCACATGGCCCTGGTGAGCCTGGCCTGCAGCAGCACATCCCACAACAGCATCTTGAGCATGGTGATGGGATCCGTCATTATCGTTTTCGATACCTTCTGTATCCTGGCCTCCTATACCTCCATCATCCACACGGCCCTGCAAATTGCCTCGGGCAGCCTGCGGCGCAAAGCCTTCCACACCTGCGGCACCCAGCTGCTGGTGATGTTCTTCATGTACTCTTCCTTCCTCTCCTCCTCCATCGTGTACCGGGCGGGCCAGGCCGTCTCGCAGGACGTGCATAACCTGCTAAGCGCCATCTACCTGCTGCTCCCCTCCACCCTCAACCCCATCATCTACGGCGTGCGGACGAAAGAGATCAAGCAGCGCGTCCTGAGGGCCTTCGGGAGACGGCAAGTCCCCACTGCTGAGCCAGATGCGGCATTGCCTGAGCAGGGTGACAAGTCTCCGCCCTGCGCTGCCAAAGAGACTGCGGCTGCTGTAGAGGACATTGGAGGATAGCGGCGTCACTGGGAACAGAGGGACTGGTCCTCCGCAGAAGCTGAGCGCTTTCAATGCCCCATGACCATGACAGATGGTCAGGCCATACACCAGAGCAGTCCTGCCCCCTATTTTATTTATAGAGCAGCCAACATTTGCTGGGCTTACCACAAACAGCACATGGATGAGGCCTTTGGCCCAGACAGTCTCCATGCCAATTCATTCAATTAATTAAAAATAGGCTCCTCTTCAGATGTGAGGCACAGACAGGCTCCTAGCATTCAGAGAGAAAGTTCCTTGCCCAGTTTGCACACGTGAGGAGATGAGACAGAGAGACAGCCCGAAGTCCTAGATCTCATCCCACTGCTGTGAACGCTTAAAAAGCTTCCACCGAAAAGCCACGTGGCCTGAGATAACTGAAAACAGTCAGGGCTGGTTCTCTTCCCCCGTGTCCCGCCCCTCCCCGCGTCAGAGGCAAGGGTCCATGCCCTCTCGCCACACCAGGCTCTACAGCTGTGAACTCACCCTAACATTTTGGCTTGGAAACAGATCGGTGACATGGTCGTCTGTCAGCCTCTGTGCAGCAGGGGCCTAGACAGCTGCATAACCCTGCAGATGGGAAAAGAGCGTTTCGTGTTTCGAGAGTCCAGACAGTATCAAGTGTGTTGTGTGTAATCAGGAGCCGTGTTACCCCATCAGTGTTTGACTGGGGCAGACTAGGGGAGCCCTCAGTTTCTCCGGGCTCAGAGATTAATCTTTTAGCCCCTGCCACTATTCAGAATTGTGAGTAGCTCGGCTGATTCACCTAATGTTACACTATGGACAATATGGCTTGTGTACAGTACTGACCACAATAGGGCCCCGATCCTTACTGAAGCTGCTGGATGCTATAGCAATGTACAAACAAAACACTAATCATCACGCTGCACTGTTGGGTTTTGCTTAAATGCAGGGGGAGGGAGATATTGTGCTTTGTTAAGGGACCCTGGTCAGTCAGGGTATTTTCTTTGGAGTCAATCTCTGAGAGTTTTGTGCTGGGAAGGAGGAGATTTTGTGTGTGTGGGGGGGGG